CCTCCTAGGGAGAACTTTGTGCCATCTTGGTATTGCTGCAAGGGCGGCTAAGCAAATGGAAATAGGCACGACATGACAGGGCTCATCATGCTGAAGGAAAGTGAGATTAACAGATGCATTCAGAGCCTGCCTCCCCTCCCTAACTCATCCTCTGCACACACTGAATGGGTTGTCTGAAGAATGATCCCCAAGGAGCTCCTGCAGGAAAATGATGCAGATGGAAAATCATGTCTCCTGTTTGCAACTAAAACTGATCTACAAGACAGCACGGAGGTGGTGCCTTGCTTCTAGGGTCTTTGTCTCTGATCCCAGAGCCTCATCTGTGATTCTGAGACAGTTCATTATGCCAGGACCTCCAGGCCACCTGCAATGGAGCTAGAAGCCTTGTGTAGCAAGAGCTATGGAATTTAAGATACAGAAACTCATGGCTGTCCTATGGTTGTAGCTGTGGTACAGCTGGGTGCCAGGGTTGTGCCTGGATGCAAACCCAATGCATTTTGGCATTAGTTCCCTGAATGGTCCCGGAACTCCCTGCTGGTCTCTGCACAAGGGACTGCACAAAGTTGTGCCAGAGGAGGTTCAGGTTGGAAATGAGGAGACATTTCTGCTCAGAAAGAGCAGTCAGGCATTGGGAAGGGTTGCCCAGGGAGGTGGTGGAGTCACCGTCCCTCGGGGTGTTCAAGGAAAGGTTGGACATGGTACCTGGGGACATGGTTTAGTGGGTGACATTGGTGGCAGGGGGATGGTTGGACCAGATGATTTTGAAAGCCTCTTCCAAGCCTAATGACTCTATGATTCTATGAAGATGAGGTGGTTACCTCAGCTCCCAGCCACCTTCATAGCTAAGCCTTGGCCTAACCTCTGCAAGAGCTCTCTCTATGGAAATTTGGGGAAATCCCAGAGATTTCCCCAGGGGGCTCCTGCTGTGCCTTGACTGTTTTAGGTGCTGTTTATGCTAGCACCTAGAATGGAGAATTTTGCCATGCCAGGGACTCCCATAGGCTGCTAAAGCATTGACCAGCCTGTACACTGATGACCTACTCCTAAATAATCCGTACAAACTGTTCCTGCAGATGCAGAAACAGTCATGTAGAACAGAACAGCCTTTTGCACACAGTTAAGATAGCTAGGAGATGTGATGTTTATAGTTTAAGATGATCTGTAGCAATTGATCATCCAGGTAAGGAGTAGTCATGTAGGACACAGGGGACTGAAAGAACTGAGCAGGGTGGCAGTTTGGAGTCACTCCTGGTCCAGCAGACAACACTGTGAAAGGACCCTTGTAATAGAGACTCCCGGTGCCACGTGGATAGTGACCAAATTTTCTGTTCAAGGGACTTAATTTCCCACACAAGCAGTACCCTATGCCGAGACCCCACTAAATGAGAGATTTTCTTTTAAAGAAACAACTAACATCCAAGAGACAACAGATGTTGCACATTTGTTGTGCAGATGTACAAGATCTGAAGCCTTAGATCTCTCCAGTTGTCTCCATCAAGACCTATAAATTTGAACATAAATTCTGTGTGGAAAAAAAAAAAAAAAAAAAAAAAAAAGATATAAAACAAATCCTGCTAACATACAATGCTGTTTTTTAGGGAGCTGTAGCTGCTCCCTCACGTAGGGCAGGGGAGAGCTGTTCACTCAGCAGCATGTGGTACATGTCCCCATGCAAGACCATCTCCAGGATTCGTCACCAGGTTCAGTGGTACCAGGCAGCACGTGAGCACCCTCATGGGGCTCGAGATGTTCTGCCAGGCTGTTCCCAGCTCTGCTGGCCCCACTCCCCTACTTTTCTTCTATCTCAGCCTGAAAACAACATTAAAGAGCCTGGATCAAAACCCAGCAACACCTAATTCCCCTAGGTTCAAACACCACTATCTTTAAGAATTTTGTATTCTCTAGCCAAACATGCACTCCAATTATGCAGGCTTATCGCTGCTATCATGAGTGCATTTTTACTCTTATAGTAAATGCACAGCAATTGTGCTTTTATTGTTTATGTTTTAATAATGGATTGCCACCCAGAAAAAAAATGAGAAACACTGCTGTAGGCAACTGGGAACCTGTCCAGGGCTACCCTCCTGTGTGTTCTTGGTGTGGGATTTGAGAGGCTCATGCTTGTTTGTCTCAGTTCAAATCTACTAAAGAAAGTTATTCTGTATTTGCATTAGCACGAGGGAGCATATTCTGATAAATTTCCCCCTTCTCCCTCATGTGTTTTGTCTCATTACATGTGGTGGAATCAGATTCCCAGAGGAAGTGTTCTTGGCTAAAAACTGTGGTGACTATCCCACCAGTTAAAAAACATTGTGCAGTTTCTAATACTACTCTCATTTTTAAAACCAAATTCTGAATTATACTGTATAAATAGCCATTTCTGAAAGAACAACCTCAAAACAGTGTTTTCCATTAACTGTGCATCGCAGCACAGCCCAACTAATATCACCTACCAAAAGACTGAACTTTAAGAGAGACACAAAAAATTGACTTTACTATGTCTCTAATTTTAAAAAGGACTCAATTTATTCCATCCTGCCCCAAAATGATTCAATATGCTCCAGGTTAAATATTATTTTATCCAGTGAAGGGGGGAATTAAGTATATAAAATACATATATATGCACATGTAAATGTACATGTGTCTGGTTAGTATGTTACATTTATTAGTCGTGTACCAGGGCCCAGCTCCACAACACAGAGCAAACACAGAACTGGAAGCTCTTAAGGTCAAGAACTTGAGATCTACGAGGAGGAAGAGGTAGATGTAGATGCAGAGCCAGCAACAGCTGGGGGTACACAGGATAGGTAGCATAGGAGAGGATAAGGTCAGATCAATAGGATAAGATAGGGTAGGATAGGACAGGACAGGACAGAACAGAAAGTCTGTTCCCTTATCCCATAACCGAGAGTATGCACCATGAGGAAAGGCTAAAAGGGATGTGGTTTGGCAGAGCAGGGTGGTAGGAAGAGGTTGCATCTCGAGGTTCCTGCATCCTCTGTGACTTTCCCACCTTTAAATTCCACTCTGAATATTGTGAAATGTCACTGTCTAGCTCATTTGATAGCTTCCATTAACAAAAGTCAAAGTACTTTATAAAGAAAGTCAGTGTTATTGTGTCCACGGATGGATAGGGACCCAGGACAAAAAGTGATTTGTCCATGGCCACACAGTTGGACAGTGACTTTCAGATCCTGCAGGCAAGGGCTCATACACATGGGTATGCTGATATTAAAAAGCAACAACAACAAAACAGCAAAACTACCACCAACGAAAACCCCTAGCAACACCTTTCTAATTAGGGAATTTCCCTGAGGAATCTTCCAGGCAGATGGGAAAAGTACTAAAATATTTCTCCTAGGACCCATCATGCAACAGGTATGATTAAAAAAACATGTTTTAATGTCATGCAGCCAATGTCACTTAGATTTCACTGTCAAATACCTTCAGTTTTCCAAAATGGCATTTAAAATGACTTTGTCGCTGATTTGTAAGTGTGTTTTTATCTTTACTTCCAATACAAATCTCTGATTTAAGAGATAGGATCAGGTAGGACAGGTCCATGCTAAAATCTTAGTGGTGAACAGATCTGTTGTGTCTAAAGGATCTGCTCCTACCCTGACTCAAACACCTCCCCAGGCTTGCTTGGGTCTCGCCCTAGATTTCTTTCAGATGATTCTTGCCCATGAAAAGATAACTCAGACTGATCACGCTACAATAAAAGATGTGTTCAATGATTCCTCTCCAGGCTTGTCTTATAAACTGGTCTGGGCAAATATTGCCATAACTCATTGCACATTGCCATAACTCCCTCTGAATGTGATAGTTCCTGTCTTTGCTAACTGGAGGCACTGTAGCTCTGTGTCTTATTTCTGGAGCACACGAGAAACATCCAAGAAACAAAAATACAGTGAAGGTGATTCTCTTTTCTCTGCAGAGTCTTCCATTGCCCTTCCTGGACTTACACCTCATTTACAATGCTTCAGGAAGAGAATGAGCGCAGACACCATCTGAAGCAAGAGGAGGAACTGAACCTTTGCAGAGGTCAAAAGCGAGACCAAAAAAAAAAAAAAAAAAAAAAAAAAGGAAAAAAGGAAGGATACGGCAGTGCCACATACACATGTATGCAATACAACAGCACTTTACAAGGCCTGAAGGTGAACAGCATTATTCCCAGTGCTCCAGTGATACCGCTGCAGTATCCCATTCCTCAGCTGAATATGTTTTCTGCTTGTTCACGAGTAGCTGTGCAGTACGAGGCATTTGTTGGGAAAGCCACAACTTCCCCTCCGACGTGGTTCTTCCCTGTGATGGCTGGGAGCAAGGTCCTGTTCCTGGTTGAGGCTTGTACTCATTGCAGTGGTGCAGAGGTCAAAGAGGCTGCCTGACCTCTTTGCCCTTCCTGTAACGGAGAAGAGGGAACAAGGTTCTTCTGAAGACATGGGACATCCATCCCGCTTGGTTCTGGAGTATCAAGATGTTGCTTCCACACAGATAGGTAGGGGAGTCCTGCTAAGGTCCTGAAGAAGTTCCAGAAGGCTCCCAGGACCATGCTGCTTCCTTCTCTTGGGCCTGGGGCTGCTCCTGGGGCACAAATTTGTGCTGAGGACATAGCCTGAGCTAAAACTCATCTTTGCAGGACAGTTTTGGAGAACTGCCCGTTTCCAAATCATAAATCCCTCTCTTCATTTGCCTTCTGCCCTAGCAGACCATCTCTGTTTCCTACCACTCTAGCAGACTGATATATGGCCCTGAGGTGAGGATATATTGCCCTACAGCAGGGGCAAACGAGCTTTTCTAGCCGAGCTCATTGGCACAAAGGGCAGCAGGCTGCAGGTGTAGACTTTTGGGGACAGATGAGCAGAAGATCCCACAGGAGATCCCAGGACAGGACGAGCCTGGAGACCTCATGGACTGTGCTTCACAGGGGGCATAGCATGAGTGGGGTGAAAGGCAGCGAGCCTCTGAGTGAGCCTCACAGCAGTGCACGGGGTTTGACAACTGTACAGCATGAGCACAAAGCCTTTGGGCTGTGGGGTCAGAGCCATGTGGATGTGACACCCAGCGTGTTAAACCCCAGTCACGTTCAAAAAATAGGTTAAGAACAGGAAAGAACAAGGTGGTAAAAATGCTTTGTTTGCTTTGACACCCAACCAGATTAACCTGTTTCTGATGAAAACCAAAATGTAGCCGAGACGTGTCGGATGAGATCTGGAGCTCCATCACCTCTTCTCCCCATTTTTTATTACACGTTCATGAACTAACTGCAATGCAAACCTCTGATCCTGGCATTTAAAACATCTCCGGCTCAGCTTTAGGAGTAGGGGGAGATTGGTATGCAAGATGTAACAACTAAATTAAGAAACTGCAAAGTGACGGAATGAAAGAAACTTGGAGCAAAAAGTGTTAATAAGCTAATGCATGGATGGAGATCTGCAGAGCAAGTGCAGGACATGAAGAAAGGAAAACCTCTGCTTTGCTACAGTGTCAACACTGTAGTTACGAACCTTTATTTTTAGTTTGTTGGTTTTAGTTCTTTCACAAAATTGCTCAAAGCCAAGGCAAACATTTTTATGTTTCTGGGCTTGATACTGCCCCTTTTAAAGTTATTTTCACAGGAGCAAGAGCTAGCCCCAGATCTGTGTGCACACAAAACCTGAATGCTTCCTGGCACCCGCGTCTGTGCTCCCTTGTGCCAGGGCTGTACATGCCAAATGGAAACGTGCTCGTTTACAGCCTGCCCCATCACTCCCCAGCTGTGGGAACATTTTCTCAGTTCGCCTCGCTGACATGTGACTCAGGTAGGTGCACATGCAGATTTCGCACACATACTTCTTTCATGTACGCACAAGTAGGCTCCTGCTTTGAAACACTGACTCCATAAAGCGCTTGCTGGCAAACAGCGACGCACTCATTTTATTTTTAAACGCTGTGATGTGCGTAAAAACCTGGAGAGCTTCAGACTAGGAAAAGGGAAACAATGCTTTCATAGTTTTGAAAATAAGCCATAATGCAACCTCCAGATTATGGAGATCTTCAGGCATTCTAAACATCTTCATTAGCCCGCCAGCGTCAGTGAGAAATGATTGCTGGCTGCTGGCTTTAAAGGCAAGGCTCCCTCAATGCTGAAGAAGGGGTGGATTGCTCAGGAGGGGCTAGGAAAGGGGTTGCCAGCCCCCATTAGCTATGATTTTTGCAAGGCATGGCACAGTCAAGTGAGAGGTGCCTCCTTTGTGAGACGGGGACATCTGGACCAGGGCTGGAGTGCCCTGATGCATCCTAGTATGTGTAGGAGGGGCTGCCGTGGAGGAACACATAGGGTTAGTTTAGGCACGCTCCTCAGAAAGACTTAAACTTGGCTGCTGCAATGCTTGGGATCACCGGAGGAACTGGACTCCCTTCCAGCTCTCATTATTTGTCGGGTTTCCAGCACTGGACTTCCGACGCCGGCCTTCCTTCCCGTCCAGATCCGTCTGCTGGGCTGCTCGGTGTCAGGGTAACAAGATGGGAACGTCATCAGCCAGACCTGGCTTCATCCAACCTCCGTCATCTGCAATGTGCTCAAGGAGCACAACCCTGTTTCTGATTTAAAGGAATTTCAGATTAAACGATTTTCAGACTGAACAATTGCTGCTACAATGGCAATGTGAAAGGGAAGAACAGCAGCGTTGGATGGATTTGATCATCTCCCCCAAAATCCTTGGAAAACTACATCCGCTACAGACTGGCACAGACAGCCATAAAGCCACAGCTATAGACAGGCTCTCCCCTGTTCTTATCTTCTCTGCCTGGAAGTGGGGTGGGAACTGCGTTCCCTGCCCTGCTGTCTGAGTGACGAGCCTGTATACGTGGCCTTGTGATGTTTTTGCTGTCAGGAGGCCAGTTTATTTACATAAAATGTGAATTCTGACCTCTTTGCCTGAAAACAGGAGGAAAACACCATTCAGCCTGTGGCGTGCCCCTTTAGTCAAAGCTGAGTCTGAAGAAACCTCCTCAGTGCCATAGTCACAACCACATCAGCATTGCTTTCCTGGACTTTTTTCTTCCCACGTGCAAGCACAAACCACAAGCCCCATCCCTTCCCTACACAGGGAGCCCTTCAGCCCTCGTTGCTGCTTTTCAGGCCTGCACTGACCTCAGTGCTCTTTGTCCCAGGGGTTTCAGTATTTTCAGAGTTTCTGTGTTTTCCAACCACCCCACTTCTTCCAGTTCACTGAGCTGCTTCTCCCACATAGCCCATTGGCTTTAACTGAGCCCACAGTTGCCCGCAGAGCAAAGCCCCATTCAGCTGCAGCTATTAGCATTATCTCGCCCAGCAATTTGTTTATACAGCGGGAGTGAAAGGGGCCCTAATCTAGTTCAGGCTTTTACTTGCTGCTAAAACACAAATGGTAAAAGGCGATTGTTTGACTTGTTTGAAAACGTCTGCTTTTCACAGCAGTCCCTTTCAAAGGGGCAAGTTATCTACAGAGATTTTGCTAAGCCACGTCCAACTGGAAGCCTTTCTAGCGAGGAAGGAGGACAGCCCGAAGTGCCGAGTGCTCTGCTCCCCCCGCCGTGCATCCTACAAATAGGCACAACCATACCACACACTGCAACTGCAGGGTGGGTAGTCACAGATCATGTCAGAAATGTCACTCTCAGAAGCTGAAATTAAGAGTTTGCACTCAGTCACATGCTGAAAACCACTAGGGATCAGCAGCTGACCTTGCACTAACAGGTTTCTCTCTTGCAAACGTTAGCATTAAACACCTGACTAAATACCCGCTTTTATCCTCCGTTCCTCTTCCTGCTGCATAAACCTGTATTTCAGGAGCGACTCTTGCAGGCGTGATTTACAGACCTGAGATGGCTGAGGACACAAATGTTGGCTGGGGTGTCAGCAGAGAAGTCTCAAGGCATCTTTTCTCCTCCTTCCCCCCCAAACCTACCCTCAGTTCACAGCCAGAAAGTGCTCTTGGGGTACACAAAGTCTTGGGTACACAAAGACAATTAGTAGCCTGTACCTCTTAGGACAGGTAAGCAATATCAGGGGTATCAAAGGGTGTCAGCCCTGCTGTCCCCAAGCTGGGAGACAACCTGGGAGACTGTTTGCCTTGGGCCTGTACCATAGCATCCCTTACACCATCTCCTTTCCACTTTTATTTCCGAAATTCAAATGGCACGTCTGTTTTCTTACAGCTCCAAGGTGGGCACAGGAGGGGGAGGAGGAGGCAGTGAATGCTGCCATAAAGCCTCTTTCATACCAGGGAACCATACACTGGATGCTGGCCCTGGGAAATTTTATATTTACCTCTGCTGGAATGGGAAAGGAAAACAGCTGGAACAAGCACAGCTCTCAGCCACAGGCGGTGCAGTTGTGGATGCACAGGAACCCCACAGGACAACCAGACACCCTCAGAAACCAGGGCAAAGCGCACGGTGTGCTGAAAGAGAATGGTGAGGCACTAAACATTTCCTTTCCTTCCACAATTACCTTTTATAACATGACAGAAAACATCTGACTCTTCCTTTTTTTTTTCTGGTAGATTTTCTTAAATTACTTAAAAAATACTAAGGGACACATTTCCATTAGCAGCAGTGCTGATTCTTTAGTAATTCATGAAGAAAATACATGAAAAAAATTGTAAAGAGCTGATCCCTCGGGAAACAGAAATGCCTGATTTGATAACTTAGCCTGGTCACTTGGACGAAATAAGCAACAGGGTATTGTAACCTAAATTAGGCAGCGAGAAATGCTGGAGAAAAGGGAGTGCTACAGCCGAGTCCTTTCTTGGGCTTGGGTGCCCTGTTCAGGTTCAGCGGGACATGCTTCTTTTCACTCTAGATCCATGGCCCTGAAAACTTAATTACAGTTTTTCACCTCGCATTAATTAACATGAGAAATGAAGACACCTCTCCTCTGTCTGCTCTCTCCCCACCCACCCGTTATCCTCGAATAACCCATCCCGGTGGGTTATGGCACATCTTGGGCTCAGGTTTGCATTCCTCCGGGGGGGAGGTGCCTGAGCAGCCTTGGTGAGGCTGCAGACGGAGGAGGGTTGAGCGAGGCCTCCTTCTGCTGTCTTTCGGAGGGAAGGGAAAGCGTTTTGTGTAGCCTCAGCCCCCCAAAGTGTTGCTCCTGCTTGTGCCGAGTGCTCCTGAATCGCTGCTGTTTTCAGTCCAGCCGATGGAGGAGCTGGAGCCAGACTGTATGGAGGGGAAACTGAGGTGGTCTTGGTGGCTGTAGTGTCCCACCGTGGCACAGCAGCAGCCCCAAATTGCTTGGTGGCACCTCCAAACTGCTGGTGTGATGGTCTGGTCCTCTCTCACACCTGGGTTGGGGACCCAAGCCCCTCATCGGTCACATTATTGCATCCTAGGAGGGAGGTGAGCACGGGAAAGGCAAAAAAACGGGATGCATGGACTGCATGGGATTAAAAGTCGGTAATTGAGGGGCAAGGAAAAGAGTTTCAACACATGCGAAAGGATCCATGAAAATCATTTACTGTCTTCATCCTACAAAGCAGTGAAGTAACTTCGACTCTACGACTAAAACAGACTACCTCTGAGACACCTATTTGCTTTAATCCATTTATTTATGCGAAGAATAGACGAAAAACTGAGGAAAAACTTCCACTTTAGCCGCAGCCCCTCTGCCAGCAGCCCCTTACCCCCACCCCTCCCACCGCCCTCCTTCCCCTCACCGCCACGGCGCCGAAGCCGCGCTGTGCGGGGCGGCCACCACCGCTCCCAGCGTGTCCCCACGGCCCCAAACGCCACCCTACAAGGAGCCAGGAGCCTGGCGGCAGATCCCCCAGCCGCCTCCGAGCCTCCTTTTCCCTCAGCAGCAGCACCGAGCCCATCCGCGGCTGGGACCCCGCCACCCCCCCGCCTTCAGACGGCTGCAGCGAGCAACCGGGCTCGGAGCACGGCGCCTTCCACGCGTGTCCACCGCCCCCTCGACGGGACGAAGAGACCCCCCCCACGACCCCCACAGCCCCCGTTTTCAGCGTTTTTCGCGTTTTTCGCGGTTTTAGCCTCTCCCCCTCTCCCCAGCTGCGGGCGGTGCCGCCAGGTGCGCCCGCCCCGTCGCGGCCCCGGGGGGGCGGCCGCGGCTCCTCGCCCCACCCCGGGCTCTCACCGCCCCCCGGCTCAAGTCCGGTGGCTCCCGTTCCGTGCCGAGCCGTGCCGGAGAGTAGGGGAGGGCGGGGGGTGTTGGTTAACCGGGGGGGGGGTTAACCGGGTTGCATTCACTCGGCGTTTCCAGCATGCTCCTAAGATGGCGGTAGCGGCGGCGGGCGGCGGCGGGGGCGGCCGGGCGCAGCGCAGCGGCTGGCTGGAAGTTTTGGTGCGGGAGCGCTGGCACAAAGTGCTGGCCAACTTGGGCGGCGAGGCGCTGGTGCTGAGCGGCGAGGAGCGGCCCGACGGAGCGGCCCCCAACGGCTTGGGAGGCGATGGGGCGGCGTGCCGAGGGGCAGAAGGGGGCGGCGGTGGAGGTGCTGGTGGCGGTGGCGGTGGTGGAGGAGCGGGGGGGCCGGCGGCGGTGCGCACCGCGTTCACCGACCCCCCCGAGCAGGTGCCCGAGGCTGTGTCCAACAAGAAGAGGTGCGTGAAGGTGCTGAAGCAGGAGCTGGGCGGGCTGGGCATCAGCATCAAGGGGGGCAAGGAGAACAAGATGCCCATCCTCATCAGCAAGATCTTCAAGGGGCTGGCGGCCGACCAGACCCAGGCTCTCTACGTGGGGGATGCCATCCTGGCCGTCAACGGCACCGACCTGCGGGATGCCACCCACGACGAGGCGGTGCAGGCACTCAAGAGGGCCGGCAAGGAGGTGCTGCTGGAAGGTAGGGACTGAAAGGGGCTTGGACGCGGTCCCCCGGTATGCCAAGGGTCAGTTCGGCTCAGCTGTGGAGGAGGGATGGGGGGGATGGCTCCGTGCACCCCGTACGTCCAGGCTGCTTCCAGCCTGTTTCCATCTCCCCCCAAGCCTCGCAGGGCTCCCCCCTCGACGGCAGGTTTTTGGGGTCTCAGCCCTGCATCCTCTTCCCATCCAAGGATCAGGCAGAGGAGCTCTGACCCCATCAGTTTCCGATCCCACTGTGGGGGCTCCATCACATTGTGGCATCTCTGAGCCTGTCCGCATCCCCCTTCCCACCCCAAATGCACACTTGGCCTGTCCTCGCTTCTTTTCAGCCCAGAAAGGTGGAGGGGGAGGTTGAAGGGGTGAGGGAGACCCCCCAGCCTCAAAGGCAAGGGGTTGGGGGGCTGCTTCTGAGCCCTCTTTCCTCCTCACCCCCTGCCACCGTCCCACTGCCAGCTGCAGGGCTGGGGGCAGCAGGCTTGGATGGGGCTGGCAGTGCCCTGCATGAACTGGCCCCAAAAAGCGCATGCTTTCGTTTCTCAAGGGGGACCGAGGTGGTTTTGTTCTTACAAACAGCTTCAAAGTCGCCTCCGGAGCGAGGAGCACGAGAGGGAGGAGTGCAGGGATGGTGACCCCAAAAGGGGACCTCTGTTGGCGAGGGGCTGAGCAGAAACAGGACAGAGCTCCCCAGGACACCCAGCTCATGAGGGGAGAGGTGTTCACAAATGCTCTTATCCTTGTCTTCTCCCCGGGGTTCACGTAGTTGCTGGACCTGAGAGAATGAGCAGCTTCAGCAGTGCCCTTGGCACAGGTTTGATAAAGTGATCCCATATTTGCCCACAAGTTCATTTAACTGCAGGTCAGTGGCATTGCAGCGTGCTGCTGCACCGTCCCTTGTGCCACCGCCTTCCTCCAGCCCCTGGGTGCTCCTGCCTCGGCGTCCCCATGCCTGTAGGTACCACACGTTGTTTCACGTGTGTCTCTTTTTTATTCGGAGCAGCGGAGGGAAGCACTGCTGCCGGTTAGGGGATGCACTTGAGCATCAGCTGCAGCCAACCAGCTCTGGCAGAAAGTTACAGGAAAAGCTTGAGAATTGGGTCTGTGCAGTAAAGAGGGCAGGCGAGCAAATTTCATCTGCAGCAGCGTCTGCTGAGAAACTGTTTGGTGTTGTCCACGTTGCAGGGAGAACTTGAGGCTGAATCCCTGCCCGGTGAGGGTTTAACAAGCTGAGGGCTGCTGCACCCCCCCTCTGTGCGCCCTGTGCTTGCATGACAAAACTCTGTCATTTCCCTGCTGGCTGAACCGCGTACAGAGACAGCCGCGAAGCCTTCATGTGAACTCCTCGCTGGGGTCTGAATGGAGCTGTTACGTCTAAATTCTGCCACTGGTTTGTTTACACAGCACAAGGGCTCCCTGGGGTGCAGGCCAGACAGCAGCTGACCTGTGGTGTGATCTAACTAGGAATGCGGTGCATATCGGGCTTGCAGGGCTCTCCCTCCGTGTAGTGCCTGCAGTAACAGCACCTGAACACCCTGCTGCTGCACGAGCCTGTTAAAAAAACTCAGGTTTGCTCCCAGAAAGAGCGAAGATGAAGCTGTTTCAGCAGGGATGCTTCACACCCTCCTTTTCTCCACTCCTCTGGCCACTGCAGCGGTTTCCTTGCATTTCTTTGCTCCGTGGAGGTGTAGGCTGATGTGTTTCAGTGGTTGTCTCTGCAATGGAATTTGTGATTTGTAAATCGAGAGCCTGTGTCAGTAGTCATCCCTGTGTGTCGTTAAAATATTCAGGCACTGAAATCAGTATTTTGTCCTGGCTTTCTCTCACTGTTTTAGCAGAGGATCCAAAGTCAGGACTGTCCCCAGTGTTGCCCCAGGAGGTGCAGGAGCCTCTCTGCACGAGTGCCTTGTGTAAGCAGGCAGTTGGAAACGATTCTCTGAGATTCAGTTTCTCACTTTGGAGCTCTTTCTTCCGTAGCACGGTCTAAAATGGTCTTTTTATTACTAGAGGAAGGAATATCCAAAAGTTCTTTTTCTCTCTCTTTGAAAGTATCAGAGGGAGAGCCTTGGTTATCCTTGCCTTCTGGACTATAGGAATTTGCTGTTTCTGACTTCTTGGGGAGCTCTGTGTTACAAAAAGCTCTGTGTGTTGGGGAAGGCACATGCACAGTTCCTCCCTGAGATATTCCTCCAGTTAGCAGGGCATTGCCAGCGCTCATTTCCAGTACCAAAATGTAACATTTGCATTTTTAGGGAGTTTCTGAGACTTGTGCTCATGCCTTGCAGAGCCGAAAGGCTGAATTTGGTTCAAAGCAATTGAAGAGGCACGGCAAGGCGCCAAGCATGAGAGGCAAATTTAAGGGTATGAGAGGGAGACAGAGGGCTCCTGGTATTGTCCAGGGCTTTGTGTGCTCCTGGGAAGGCTCCTAGGGTTGTGCGTTTGCTGGAGGTTGTCAGCAGTGAAGATGCGGTCAGCGTGGCTCAGCACACCCCACGTCAGAGCACTGGAGCCCTGTTATACGGCGTCCTTCCTAAAACTGCTTGCTCAGTGAAACGAGGCATTCACCAGCTCAGCACTAAGCTGCCATCTCTCCTGCATTCCTCTGCGGGGAGGAAGGGAGCAGAAAATCCCTCGGCAGTGCCCCTGCGTGGGAGGCAGGGCTGGCACTGGGGGGGACGGGCACAGGACGGTCTGCACACAGGGCAGTGCGAGATTTTAACACTCGCCCCTTTTGCCTCCTTGATTGCCGTCTCTGAGCTGGTGGAAATGGAAATTGTTTGCTGAAGGGCTGGGGTTGGCATGGGTGCAGTAGCTGTGCCGGTACAGGGTGGCCCAGCTGCAGAGCTCCGTGGGAGAGGTCTTGCTCTAACAGATATTGGCCATCCTGGGTTGTTCTGTCCTCTCATTCTCCACCCCTGAAGGACATGGGTCTGTCACAGCCCTCGTGTACACTCCAGCTACTGAGCTGAAGTCATATAAATCAGTTCCTTCTTCCAGGGCTGACTGGCCAAGGTGCCTTGCGAGCAGGTGACACTTGGTAAGTGGAAGGGAAATCGGGCAGCACTGCCAGAGGAGGAGCTGGGAGGCAGAAGGTTCAAGAGGTGGTGATGACGATGCAGTTACACTCGAAGAAATACTGCTCTCTCCTCATCTGTAGGGGTGGACCTCTTCTGCCTCCAGGGTTTAATTTCCTGCTGGCTTCCATCACAGCCTGGGCATGGCTGCAGGGGAGCAGGGGCAGGGCAAGCACCAGTGTCCAGCTTGTAGTCCTGGCTTTGATTTTAGGTGTTTGGGACACACAGGATTTAACTTCTCACCAGCATTCAAAAAAGCAAAGAATTTTTCTACGTGAGAGACAAGACAGCGTCCTTATGTGCTGGATATTGTGTCTTTTCCTGACTTGCTAAAAGTGTGCAGACAAGCTTCTGAGGATGGTGGTGCCAGGTGTGCAGCAGGAGAAGAGCATCTTCTTGGCATTGCTAGAGTTCTTCATGGCTTTGAGCAATTCTCAATTAAACTAATACAATTGCAAGGCAGCAGGCTACAGCTCCCGTGAGACGAGGCTCTTGTGGTCTCCCTGGGTTTGCAGAAATTGCCCACGGAGCTGCAGCCACTGGCATGGTGAATTTTAGCGTATGGACAAATATAGTTATCTTCTGAGGGCCTCTTGGAAGTAATCCACAGATTTAAAGCAGTCTAAGAAAAGCGTGATGTTCTGTATACTGCAGTAACACGTGTTATTCTCCAAGCAGTATCTCTGTAAGAATTGTAACAATACTTCCTACCCCTTTGAAATGTTTTGTTGACGAAACAAAAGTGATTCTGCCTGCCTTTCAGTCCTTTTTTTTCCCAGTAAAGTACTGACAATGAGAGATTTTAGGGGGTTAAAATACATTATTTAACCAAGGAAATGTGTCCCTTGCAAGTGTAGAGGGAAAATGAGACACGGGACGCTTTGTAAGTGCCTACCTCGTGCAACTGCTTTGTACAATCAGGGCTGTAAATCTCAGTGATTGCAATTTGTATGCATAGCTACTCCTTACAGTTCCAGTAAATGTATGGGGAAAACGCTCTGTTTGTTTGTTTGTTTGCTTGCTTTTATTGTTCCAGCAGATACACAGGTAGGGAAATGCTTTGTACTTCGGGGCTGTGTCATATTTCATACACCATGTAGCTGCCCTTGGCACGCATCTGCTTGAAAGTGAAATTGAAAGGTAAAGGAGGAGGTAATCTTGTTCCCGACCATACGAGAGCTGAGCAGTGCCTGTGAATCTCAGTTTGGATTGTTTCAGCTGCCTGCAGCTGATGGGGAAGCTTGAGTGGGAACACTCGATGTGTCTTTCATTGATTAGATTAGATTACAGGCTAATTTAGCAGTCCAGACAGTCCGTATCAC